TTTTTTTTTAAAATTATATTCGTCATCAACAATGAGGTTATAAGCCATCGTTACATTTTTTTGAATTTGCATTAATTGCTTATCAGTTGACGCAGTTCTGTTATRTTGACAAAATTAAAAAGTCTTTGTTCGTCTCAGGAGTGGGTGCTAGCATCTCGTATAGTGTTTCCGGAAGTTACAGTTCGAAGAACCTTTCAATGAATTGTCAGTATATGCTTGACTGTAATTGTTCGGGACGGGTACGTAAAATAATAATATGTGCGCCCGGTTWCCTAATGCTTCGTGCGCTGTATATGGTAAAGGTGTAAAGGTAGGTATGTGTGTGTAGCGACTCAAAGGAAGTGGACGGGGTCGTCGAGCAAAACCAGAGAGTGCTAGTGTGTTGTGGTGATTGTAGGTGTGTATATTTGTTGGTGTGTGTGTGAATGTGTGTCGGTCGATGGTGAAATACACAGTGGAGGCTCGCCATGTAATCCAGGCGTAAACATTCTCCCCCCTTCAAAATGGTGATTTTCAGTTATTTTCCAATTCTTTTTCGACTGGAAGGTAGCATAAGTTGATTACTGGTCTTTTGATCTCTGTTCCATTTGCTGTTCGTATGGTGACTACTCGGGTATGACCATCGTTGCCTGTATGTAAACATATTATGCGAGCCATTTTCCACTTGTATGGAGCCATATTATCTTCCTTTACAATCACGACCTCTCCAATTGCCAATGTTTTAGATGCAGTTGTCCATTTCCCCGTCACCTGAATCTGAGGGAGGTACTCTGAGGTCCACCTACTCCAAAATGTCTGCATGAGAGCTTGTACTAGTCTCCACCGTCTTAATCCACTTATTTGCTGTGAAGTCAAACTGGTTCTGGAGGCAATGTGATTGGACCCCCTATTAAAAACTGAGTAGGAGTGAGAGGCTCCAAGTCTTTTGAGCTACTACTCAATGGTGAAAGAGTGCGTCAATTTAGACATGCTACGTATAACGAACTGCACGTATAAGTTTGAGCCAGCTAGAACAGCTGTTGATCAAGTCTTTGATAGGATTTGTTATTATTAGTGCTAAACGCAATGGTCGCTGTTCAGGAAGTTCAGTTGCTAATACCCGTCGTATGGGATTGTGAATCCAGCAATCGTCTGCTTGAGACAGCCAAAAGGGACCATGTCACCAAATTTGTGATGTACCTAGTTCTTGCGCTCTTATTCCACGAGAAATTATATCAGCTGGGTGTTCATTTGTCTTTACATGTCACCATTGGGAAGGTCTGGAGACTTCTAGTATTTGTGTTACTCTATTCGATACATATGTTTTTAGTCGGCTGGAAACACTATTTAGCCAAGATAATACCACCATAGAGTCAGTCCAGAGGTGGAAATCTAGCGGATTTATCTTCCATGAATCAGAAATTTTGACAGCCAACTGTACTAACAAATTTACCCCATTTAACTCCAAGCGAGGAATTGTTACACCTTTAAGCGGAGATATTCGAGTTTTCGAACACAACAACTGTGAATGTTAAGTTCCATCATTTTCCAATGAACGGACATAGATACAAGCCCCATAAGCCTCTAACGATGCGTCGCAGAAGCCATGAATTTCTATTTTTTTACTTATACTAAATATACCTTTCCGTGGTATTGATAAGTTTTTGAGAGTTTGTAATTCTTCGTAATATGAACGCCATTTTATTTGAAAGTCTTCTTGTAACTGCGTATCAATTTTCAACTGCCTTAGTTGCTTAAGGAATATTTTTCCCTTGATGAGTACCGGTGCAAGAAAATCCAGTGGATCAAAGTTTCTATTCCATTGCGACAACAATGTTCTTTTACTAAGTTTATAATTTTCGGATTCATCTGTTATTTGGAAGCGGAATTCATCAGCAATCGGCTTCCAACACAGTCCCATGGATTTAACAGTATCATCTTCGCTTATATTTAAAGTCAATAGTGGATCTTGCTCTTCTTTAGTTATGCACTGTAACACAGTTTGTGAATTTGAACACCATTTACGGAGCGGTAACTTGGCGAAATTCAGAATCGTACTCACTTCTTGTTGTAACTGACAGCATTCTGCTTCGGTATCACTGCCTGTCATTTAGTCATCCATATAGAAGTCCTATTTGATGACTGTTGTTGCTTTCAGATAACGCTTACTAAATTCTTCAGCCAGTTAACAAGGCATTGAGTAGTCATATATGATGCTGGAGGGGTTCCATAGGTAACTGTTACTAATCTATATGTACGAAGAGATTCTCTGGGGTCATTTCTCCATAAAATTCGTTAAAGGTCCCAATCAGGCTCAGCTATGGCGACTTGCCTGAGCATTTATTCAATGTCTGATGTTATTACATGCTGGTGCCTTCTAAACCGAATCAATATCTCAAACAACTCTTCCTGGACTGAAGGACCACGCATTAATATATCGTTTAGTGATATACCTGAAGAAGATCTGGCAGAAGCATAAAAAATAACCCTCACCTTTTTAGTTAGACTTGAGGTCTTTTGAACTGCGCGATGTGGCAAATAGTATGCATTTAAAGGAATAGATAATTCACTACAAACTTCCTGAATGTGACCCATTTCTAAGTATTCTTGCATAAACTTAATGTATTCTGTGTGTAAGTACGGATCTTTTTGTATTCGTCTTTCCACACTCATAAAGCGCGATGTTGCCATTGTTACACTGTCTTCTAATTTATTAGCATTTGCCTTGATTGGTAATTGAAGAACAAATCGGCCATCATCGTTGCGGGTTGCAGTTTTTTGGAAATGTGACACAACTTCCTTTTCTTCTAAGATCCTGAGATTTGGTTTCGACATGTGGCCATAGATCGCGTCGTCCTCTAAATGTAGAGCCTTCCAATCAGTTTCAAGAGACGCACCAAAGGAACTAATACCGAGTAAGCATGTGCAATGCAACCATAATGCTTCCAAATTAAGAGGCCTTCGTTCCATTCCTAAGATGTCAAAGAAAATGCCACCACCTATAAGTAAATCACCCGGTCTTCTTTTATAGAACGATGGATCAGCGAGCTTTGGGGATAAATCTTCTGGAATTCACCATCCTCCTTCAGGTGTGGGACAAGTAGATAAATCAGAGACGATACTTGGTAGTACATAGCTAGTTAAGTCGACGTTATAATCAATCGTTCTGGATTGAATCCTTAAGTCAATACAAGCTGCTGCAAGAACTTGATTAGCACCTATTCTACTTATTGGAAGAGAACTTTTCCTTCCTGGTAATTGAAGTAGAGTTGTTAAATTTTTGGAGATGATGTTTATCTGAGATCCGCTGTCAAGTACAGCCCTGCTTTCATGTAACCTTCCAAACTTGTCTCGTACATAAACGATAGCGGTCGAGAGAAAAACATGGCCAAGTTGAGCTGCTGAGATGCGTGTAGCAGATACTACTACTTTTGATGATGCTTCTGGAGCGGTTTTTTCCTCTCTACTCGGTTGAGTAGGAATCTGACTTCTCCCTTTTTCAAGATGTAACAATGTGTTGTGTTTTCCCTTGCACTCATGGCAAGAATATAGTGATTTACACATCTTAGATGTGTGCCTTGATGACAGGCAATTAAATCAGCGTCCTGCCTTTGAAACGTAAGTCGATCAGTTACTAACAGTTCCTTGAACTGATCGCAATAGAATAATCTATGCATGCCAGAGCAACAAGAGCAACGTTCAGTTTCACAAGCATCAAGTAGTACCCTTTTTCCGGAATGCGAAACATTTATATTTGAAGTAGTAGCTGATGACCTCACAGGTTTATTCTGAAGTACCTCTGAACCTTCTACTGCTGTGCATCGACTGGCCAAAAATTTTTCTAATTCGGAGAACTTCGGTAGATCGGTGTTTATCTGATGCAATAGCCATCCCTGAGCAGAATTCTTGTCCAATCTAGAGTAACAATTGTTACAAGCCTTGCATCCCAGTGCTCAACGGGTTGATTTAATGCTTTGAGAGCTGCTACATATGTTGTTACACAAGCAAATAGGTTCTGTAATGAACCAGCTGGTGAATCATCCACGTTTGGATGATGCTCGGAATATTGGTACGGTCCATAGAATTTATAACAAAAGAAATTAAAAACCTGGAATACTGGTACTCTTCAAAATTTAATTTTCAGGGGTCCTAAGATTTTTTTTAAAATTTTGCAAATTTACAATGTTTATTTATAATTTTGATAATTAACCATCGTCTACATTTTAAATTTAAATAATACGTAGAAAACAAAAAAAATATGTTAGAAATAAAAATGAACTAAGCCCACAAATATGTTCATACAAAATAGTTGATAAATAAAATAATAGTTAATAAATTTAATATAAACGAATATTTTGTACACTTAGCTATATTATTTAAAAATTGTCCTAAATTAATCTCATTATTCAAATAGCTTTCACATTCATTATGTAGTTTGTCTTGCAAACTATTTTGTTTTTTTGAACTTTTAGGCATTAAGGTATTATTTGTATTGTGTGTTCTTTCAATCCGCGTTGTCGCTTCATCTTGTTAGATACATGTAACTACTAACCAAAAATATGGGTTATTTACAAGCTTATTCAAATAGCTATTTCAACCTTCACAAACATTATTTGTTCTGTTGCCATTATTTAAAGTTATTTCATGCACATTCCAAAAGTGGGGACAAAATATTGGGCTCCTAGACTTCACACTAACATAAGTTTCATCAAAATAATTTAGTAATGGTAACAATTTTACAGGTGTCGTTGTATATAAATACACTATAAACCATTCTATCTATTACTTCAATAAAGGGTAAAAATGCTAAAGCGTTAATCATACCAGAACTTATTCTAAAATCTAAGTTTGGGAAACCTTGACTATTGTGGATAGTACCAGTATTCCGCATTTATAAATACCGAACCAGTTTTCCGTTTACCCGTTTGAACAGTTGGATAGAACGTATATGGGACTGTATTACCAGGCTACGGTTATCATATCTCTGTTTTAGTAACTGTATAACTACTTCGAAGTTCCGTCACATACTGGAGTGGAACGTACTAGAACAAGAGCAGGACCATCTAAGCAGGAACGCAGATAATAAAATTTTTGTGCGGCAGAGTATCCTTCATCATTCAGCACTTCTATTGCTTGTTTCCAGTTGTTAGCGAAGGTTCCTTGTAATTTATTTAGCATTGAGAGGTACATTTTGAATAGAAACGAATGAATTATCGTTGGGTCCGCAACTTTTGTTTTTCGTGTAATTCAAACTATTGTTTGATTCAGATAAGTAAAATATATAAATTAGCGAAATACAGTTGTAATTGATATTCATGTTTGGTTCGTATATTATTGGATTATTTTGTTCATATATATTTTTGATTGCAATGAATTCGTCATTGAGTGTTATTAATTACTGCTATTTAATTTGAATTTTTCTCTTAGTTACCTAGTTTATTAGCTACGTCGAATGGTACCGTAACTATATCGCAATCATTAATTAGTATTTTAATTTGCTGTGAGAGCGTACCATTGAATTTTATAATTTTGCTCCATAACTCAATGGAGCTAAACTGAGATGAAATAGATCTAGTGATATTAAATCATGAATTTGTTTTGCTGGTCTCATTTATATTTCTAGCTTTGGTTCTGATTTTTTTTAATGTCATTATTATTTTTTAAATTTTCTTAATGCCTTCATATTTTCTTTCGTTATATTTCCGCATTTTGCGTTCAACCATGAACGGTTGATCTTTTTCTTTTGTATTGTTTTTTACCTATTACTGAGTGAGCGGAGAGAATTATAGCAGTGGTAAATGTTGTGATAACGTCATTAATATTAGAAAGAAATGATTGTTATTATTACTTAATTTTAAAATGAAAGTCCAGCAATGAAATTGTTGAACGCAGTATTCTATTATAACTAATTTATTATTTTTATGTATTTTTTCCTAGACGATTTAAGTACGTATATTTTGTTTTGATTATTAATATTTTATTCTGTTTGAGATTTAAATATTGTATTTATATTTATTATTTCGTACATTAGCTCCAATGTCAATAAAATTTATAGATAAATAAATACTAAATACCATAGGTTAGGTTAGGTTTTAACTGTGTATTATTGCATAAAAATCGGTGGAGCTAATGAACATGTATCATCGCAGATGTTAGTTCTTCGATTAATTGTCGTTTGTGAGCAAGTGTATTTTGATCAATTGGCTCGTATTAAAATCGAAGTTCTAAGTTTTCCATAACGTTTAAAGCGTTGAAAAGCGACCTTTTTCCGTCCACCGGGGGGTAAAGTGCATAGAACCACTATAAACGATTCAATAGCAACCTAATCCATAATCTAACTCCCCTTGTCGTCCATCCATCACAGAAAATCCCCATAAAAAACTAAAAAGACAACTGTGTCGTGACCTTATTATCTAAAAAAATACATTTCTTCTATTCTTGCATAAAGTGTTGAAGAAATAAGTTTATTAACCTAATTATAACTCAAGGTTGTTATACCAAAATAAAATAATATTTCTTTCATTGAATTGTTTTCGTAGAATAATATGGTTCTTGAATTATCTTTCTATCTACTTGCGTGATCGATGAACATAGAGGCGGCGCGACAAAAAAATAGTAGGTACCTATGTCTATGTGTGGTTCGTGTGGTTGGAAGGAAACTTATATCAGTTGTGGGTTACATGTGCTTCACCTATACTCTTAAATGTGGAGCATATTAAAATAAATGTCAACATTATTTTAAAAAATACTCGAAAATATGAACGTAGAAATATAATAATTGTATAATAATATATAATAAACTATATAATATTATGAATGTTCACATATCGTACGTAATTAATATTTTTTACTGTTTCACTATCAGTATAGGTAGATAAAACCTGCAATGACGAACATCACTAACATTTAAAATTTAATATAATTTATTTATCAATGATTAAGTATATTATGTATATTTTCTACAGCATTTGCTCGTGAGTATATTTTATGTTTATTGTCTTTTTGTATTTTCTCTTCTTTTGGAATGATATACACTGTTGGTAGTTTTTTCAGACTTGTTTTATCTTTATCACTGCATTTTATATGATTAAAATTACTAATAATATGCAACAACCTTTGCATAAGTATAATTAAACTCGACAATGACTAAAATATCTCATACCTTAATTTTTTTATAAAGTGATGAATAACTACAGAAATTTGAATGGTTATTTTAATTACCTACATGGCCAATTTGTAAATCTTATTTTGAGAAAAATTTATCTAAGTCAAATGGCTGATTTTTTTAAATTTAAGTATTCTTGTTAAGTAAATTACGATTTAGTTTATGTTATGTATGAAACATTATAATTAAAAAAATATATAAATTGTAACTATTTAAAAATGTTCTTTTTTTTTTAAATATTGATTAGAAAAAAAGTTATTTCATTTGTCAGATCTCCGTGAGGCATCCCGTAGATATAGTATTAGAATAGGTATCTTATAAATGTCAACCGTTGAATGATTGACTGCTGAATTACCTAACCTAATTCTCACTGTTTACTTCATTACTTAAATAAAATTGAATACCTACTAAGCATATTATGTTGCTTGAAATGTTTATCTTCGGACACTTTACATAATAATGACTTTCTTCATTTAACTCTCTTATAATCTTTTTCTATCCAAGATTTGTATCAATAACTGTTTCTCTTAAATGGGTTCCAAAGATTGAAAAACTATCCGCATTGATTTTGAATTTATAGCAAGTGTTACTCTTTGAATCTGATGGGACCATTACAACCCTAATCTTAAATATTACAATTATTACATTTTAATTTTGAAATTTCGTAACATTAATATACTGCTATGTACTGACGACCCGCTAAACACATAAAACCGCATATACATGTAGGTGTACGTGAGTGTCCCTGGGGCATATGATTTCACCACCGATCACATTGTACCTATCAAATTTCGATAGCCGGTAC